AGAAGATGCATCAGGGCCAAACTACCCCACAAGAGAAGGTAAACAGTTTAATGCCCCGTGTCTTTGTGAGTTTGAACCCAGCTTCAATTTGTCCCCAGTTTGGTCATATCTCAAATACATGTCAAAGCCAAGGTTTTCAGTTCAGTTTAATTAAAACAAATCTTAAAGTCATCATTTAAAACTGTTATCAGGTTATAATTTTCTATGCTTTCAACAGATGGGTCAACTAACACTGAAGCAAGCTAAGTACAGGGAATTCTGCTGTGCAAAGCTACCGACTTGCTTAGCAACAGTGGTGAATCAGCACAGACTTGCTTTGAAAACATGGGATTACAGTCCTAGGTTAAAATGCTCTCATCTGACCAAATCCTGAACCTCTGATGTTCCATTCATGAGGAGAAAAGCGGCACATCGACCTTTCCAGATTGAGCCATTTATTCCAGCAGTTAGAGGAGCAGATTACACGTGCAAAACATCCTCATGTTTTCACAACTGTGGACTCACCCCACGCCTACAGTGTCTGCTACCTTAATTAATGTTTACATCTGCCGAGCATCAACTCAGAGCTGGCTCCAAACCTGTTGATCCACGTCAGAGAAGCCACAGGTGTGGCTGCATTTTAGACTCTACTACCAATAAGGCTGTTCACCTCAATTTTATTTATACTGCACTAATTCACAAGAGTCACAGTTTATAGTGTAAGGAAAGTGCAATATTAGAGAGAAAACCCCAACAATCAGATGATCTCCAATGAGGAGGCACTTGGCAACAGTGAGGAGGAAGAATTATTTTTTTTAAACAAGAAAAGACCTCCAGCATAACCTGGCTCAGGAAGGACATGCAGGACTGCCTTTAAGATATTAGCTTCACTGGCTGCCTATTAAATCTGAAATTTATTTAAAGTCCTGTATGATCATGCCCCATCATACTGCATCTTAAAGATCTTTTAGAGAGATAATGCCTTTTAACACTGTATCGAGGTGCAACAGTTTCCATCTTCCTGCTTTTGAAGCTGCTGCATGTTATGGAACTTGGATACAGCTTTAGCCTTCAGCCTTGAACAGCTCGGTATTCATTGCGTAAAAGGGGGGGAAAAAAAATGAGGCCGACATTACAATGACAGCGTGTGTAGGAGGAAAAACAAATTATACACTCATTTAAAATAAAATGCTACTTCGCTAATCTAATCAGGTCTCATTTTAAAAATAAACAAATAATTTAAAACACCAAAGATTCCTTCCGCCGCCCCCCCCCCC